TTCGCCCAGTTACGCCCCCCCTTATGGTTGGCTATTATATAGCGCACCCATACCCGTAATTATCCCTCCTGGTCAACAGATGGCACCCTGTCACTACACGTGTTTGATGGATTAAATACTGTACAATAAAATGGCCACAGTGTTAACTATTGTGAGATGGTGCTGACAGAGGGTGTGTGTGTGCTGTAGTTGCCCCCCGCCTCCCCGTGTGATGTGCCGGCCTTCATAGGAACTCGCTAACAGCACTTGCCCCAAAAGTCTGTCAACGCTATAGAGGGATATTTGTATTTGCAGTTGTTGGTCACCCACCCCCTCGTGTGACGTGCCCATAGGAGCTTGCTAACAGCACTTGCCCCAAAAAGCTGTCAGGCCTCTACGGGGGGTCTCTGTCTTTGCGTAGTTGGTGGCCAGGCTGAGGCCATCGACTCTCTCTCTCTCTTGTGATACACGAGAGTCACGGGTGGCTCAAACCTGGATTCGAACCTTTGACCTCTCGAGTGCATGTACTTGCTGCAAAACACTCTGGTCTCTTTGCTGTTTGAAGATACGAAGGAAGAAAAAAAACGACAAGAACACGGATTTAAAAATAAGGAAAATGACAAATCGTGCAAACCACGACACGTCGCCTTTACGATTTGCACCATTGCTGGTGATAAAGGAGACATGAACACAGATTTCGTCGAGAGACATCGCACACAGAAAGGATTATTCGCCTGTAACACGTGTGTCGAGCATTGAGCGCGCATCTGCTTATCTCCAAGTGGTAGCGGTGCCACAAAGCCGAGGTGAGCATTCCACATTCCCACGACGAGGAATGGTCCGTCGGGCAGAGCAACGGCTTCCGACGTGTTTTTGGTTTGTGCCACATGCTGTTCGTTGGGCACGGTGTTCGAGGTTTCACTCCACGTGCCGGGAGCTTGTTTGGGAAATTATTTACGTGCTGCACGGGGGTGGAAACTCCGGACATCATGCTTAGAGCTCTCCAATTAGCACGGTTGGACGCGCATGGTGCGAAAGAAGTTCAACATGCGTACACACAAACAGCCCAACCCGCGAAAACCCTACGGAGTAGAGGCAACCACAGTCGACTTTCCATTTGGTGGTGCAGGCACAGTCTCATTGTGTTTTCATCCGACTGCTCGAATAATAATAATGATGATGGTGATTGTAAATATGATGGGGCATCGTTGAACCTGGCTGTAATTTTAACTCGCGATTCGCTGCGATCTGAGCTATACCCCCCACCAGCCCATGGTGTCTGCTGCAGTTGCCACCGCCTACACACTCAAAAGCAAAGCCACAGTCCAGCCACACCATTGCAATGTTTGTGGTAAAACCTTAATGTGGAATTGTGGACTTTGAATAAATCTGAAAATCAAAGAACTCCGTGATCTGAAAATAGCGGGTGCAGTCACGCATTGCTTTAAATGCAGTCGCTGCATTCGAAACGCACGGATAAGTCGCGTGTGTGTCGATGTGAAGATAAAGGCCTGATATAATATTTGAGCAAACTGCTATGAGCGAGCATTTGTCTCCCGGCTTGTGTTCCCAGTGTTGACGTTTACGCACCGCACCATGGCAGTAATTTAAGGCTGAGTCTACCTAGGGGGGGGGGGGGGCAGTCGGCGCACAAGTGTTGATATCTGCACCGGTTCAGATGTGACTTGCAACGCTATCTGTGGCTATGGAATATAAATCGGGTGAGTTTCGCAATGCGCTCATCACTGCGCCACCGCTCCACACGTAGGTGCATATTAATATACATTGTGTGTGCATACACTTTTGCACGTGACACAACAGTGGAGTCGATCTCTGCACACGCTCGCTGTTTAGTTTCGCCGGCGAATGCAAACAACACGCGCGCCTGCCGCGCGTGTTGTTTGTGCAATAACGAAAACAAATCAACCCGCAAAAGCGCTGCGAGCCAAATGATATCAAGCATCGGAAATGCGACTGTCCCCCCCCCACCGCCACCACCATCACCACGCCCCTGTCGTTCTATTTACGAGAACTGTCCATCGCAACGTGCGGTCGAGATAACGCAATCGGAAACAGCCTCGGAGTTGATGCGCGCGCCTGTTGCGCAACAGAGACGCGCAGCGCGTGTCTCGCCTGTTGGGTGAACGCGGCAGTTCACCTCTGCATCACCCCCCCACCCCCCACGGAGATGGACACGGCATTCGCTTCTCTCTTCTCAGCCTTCCCCCGCCCCGTACAGGCGGCGGGGGCGCCCTGGGCGCCACAGTGGCGAGATGTTAACTCCCTCACTTGGTATACAGGAGATCGCTGGCTCTATCCCGACCGTGGCGTCTGTTTGCGTGAAGTGTGCGTGTCTCTCCCCCCCTCTCCCCCTCCCCCACGTGGTGGCGTGGATTTTTCTCCAGATCCTCGGGGTTTTTTCCATCCACATGTATAATCAGAATCACGCGTTTAGAGTGCTTGGCTGCTCTAAATTGCCACGTGATAAGCCACTTCGTTGAGCTGTCATTTGTGGTCAGGTCGCTTCTGCAAAGAGAGCTACGTACCTCAGTGGGCTTTACGTGGTAAAATAAGAATCATAGTTTTCTGTTACCTCGCGTACGGACAAGGGGAGCGGGGAACGGGGTGGAGGCGGGGAATTTGGGGGTCGGGGGTCTTTAGCAGTCCCCACCAATCCGCCAAGGTTCTACCCATGCAGGTGTCCTCACGTAGCGCACACGGTCAGTTGTTTTAGAGAAGAGTTCTTAACCTGGGTTGCAAGCACCCCCTGTGGCTGCGAGATGCCCTTTCTGGGGATGAGAGACATGACCAGATTATTGTTTCGAGAAGGTAAATCATCGAAACACAAATTTAGCACGGGCACGTGAGTACAACTTACTTTGTTTCATCGAGCCGATATGTTTATTAGCATTATGTTTTTTTTTACGATTGCGAACCAAAGAGGTGCAAGACGTCAGTAAGGGTTAAGAAGTACTGCGTTAGATGGATGGGACGACGAGCGGTTCAACCCTCTTCTGAAATTCGTGGTCTGCCAGGAAGTGTCTAACTGTGTTGTCGGCCTGACTGGATGTGCTTCACATAATGTTTTTTTCAGGCTTTGTTGAATTCTCGTCTCTCATCTTTTTGTTGTATTTACCTCCGTGATTTGTTCTTGACGCCTGATGAAGATCGCTTGCGCTGTGATCGAAACGTCGTGATTGTTTTTTTTGTTTTAATATAATTTTATTGCATTTCTACACACGTGACTTTACCGAAAAAAACAATGAGTAATTTTATGCAGTCACGAAAGCTTCAATACTTGTATTAGTGACACGCCTCCGAACGCCACCCGTGAGCTATTTGTTCGCCCTCTCTGACTCGCGTCACGAGGCGAGGAAACGCGCAGAGGGGCCCGCTTGACAATTTGCAATTCTCAGAGATGGAATTGAGCCACACGTGGGCAGGTCTAAAACCCAAGATGAACGCACTGCTGCCTTGATTCCAGCGGTCAAGCTGCGCAAATCAAATTCATTAGGGGCTGAAACTCCCAACAAGTGGAGGGGGGGGGGGAAACGTCGCATGTCATTCGGAACAACACAGCGGCACAACCCGAAAACACATCGAAGAGCACAACGTGGCGTGCCGTTTTGTGCGCAGCCATTGCTGCCCGAGCTGAGCCTTTAAACCCGAGCTGAGCCCACCGTCAGCTCGCTATACTTTAAACCCGAGCTGAGCCCACCGTCAGCTCGCTATACTTTAAACCCGAGCTGAGCCCACCGTCAGCTCGCTATACTTTAAACCCGAGCTGAGCTCACCGTCAGCTCGCTACACTTTAAACCCGAGCTGAGCCCACCATCAGCTCGCTATACTTTAAACCCGAGCTGAGCTCACCGTCAGCTCGCTATACTTTAAACCCAGCTGAGCCCACCGTCAGCTCGCTGTACTTTAAACCCGAGCTGAGCTCACCGTCAGCTCGCTGTACTTTAAACCCGAGCTGAGCCCACCATCAGCTCGCTATACTTTAAACCCGAGCTGAGCTCACCGTCAGCTCGCTATACTTTAAACCCAGCTGAGCCCACCGTCAGCTCGCTATACTTTAAACCCGAACTGAGCTCACCGTCAGCTCGCTATACTTTAAACTCGAGCTGAGCCCACCATCAGCTCGCTATACTTTAAACCCGAGCTGAGCTCACCGTCAGCTCGCTATACTTTAAACCCGAGCTGAGCCCACCGTCAGCTCGCTATACTTTAAACCCGAGCTGAGCCCACCATCAGCTCGCTATACTTTAAACCCGAGCTGAGCTCACCGTCAGCTCGCTATACTTTAAACCCAGCTGAGCCCACCGTCAGCTCGCTATACTTTAAACCCGAGCTGAGCTCACCGTCAGCTCGCTATACTTTAAACCCAGCTGAGCCCACCGTCAGCTCGCTATACTTTAAACCCGAGCTGAGCCCACCATCAGCTCGCTATACTTTAAACCCAGCTGAGCCCACCGTCAGCTCGCTATACTTTAAACCCGAACTGAGCTCACCGTCAGCTCGCTATACTTTAAACCCGAGCTGAGCCCACCATCAGCTCGCTATACTTTAAACCCGAGCTGAGCTCACCGTCAGCTCGCTATACTTTAAACCCGAGCTTAAAACACGGGCGACTAAAACGAGGATTCGATCCCAGGTTCCCATGCGATGCCGGCTCTCAATGTGTGTGGCCTCCAACCACCTTCAAGGCGCGGCGCGAATGAGTTTCCCCCCGCGCCTAACTCACAGCGCTTCACCGACTCGTGCTCGAGTCCTCACCGACTCGTGCTCGAGTCCTCACCGACTCGAGCACGAGTCCTCACCGACTCGTGCTCGAGTCCTCACCGACTCGTGCTCGAGTCCTCACCGACTCGTGCTCGAGTCCTCGCCGACTCGTGCTCGAGTCCTCACCCACCAACTCGTGCACGAGTCCTCACCAACTCGAGCACGAGTCCTCACCGACTCGTGCTCGAGTCCTCACCGACTCGTGCTCGAGTCCGACTCGTGCTCGAGTCCGCCCTCACCTGTGGACGTGACAGCGACGCGGCTCTTCCTCGTCTCCACCTCCTCGTGGACCCCGCGATTGCCTCCTGGACGTGAGCTTCACCAGCCGCGTGCTCCTCTCGGAGTCTCGCTGCTACTGCTGCTGCTGCTGCAGCTGCCGGACGGAGCGGTGAACGAACCGCGGCGCGATCATCAGCGGTCGGGCTGGTGCGGTCATCCAGAAAAAAAATCAAGAACAAACCTCCAGCAACAAGAGGAGAAACCGGGAAAGCTCCGCCACGAACCCGCGCGCGTAACACCGAGGGGGTAAGCGCGGCTCGAAGTGCCAACCTACGACGAGAGACGCGCAGCTCCCTCTCCCCCCCCCCCCCTCGCTGCCTCACCCCCTCCCTGCCCCCAAATGGAGGGAGCGATAACAGAGATAGAGGAAATCTAGACGCGAGCAGCGCACACCTCGGCGCAGCTAACACTTGTAAGCAGAGAGGGAGGGGTGGAGAAACGAGGAGAGAGCGTGCCATGTGGAGGAGTGGGGAATTAGGTGGATGAGAGAGAGAGAGAGAGGCGAAGGAGGGGAGGTTGCGGACAGGGGGGAGAGGGGTGAAAGAGGGAGAGGGACACGGCAGGCGGATATAGCACGAGGGGGGGGGGGGGGGTTGGTTGTGGGCGAGGGGACCTGCAAGGAAGAGAGATTGAGAGACAGAGATGTGGAGAGTGTCCCAAGGAAGTTAACATCGATCGATAACTCGTCCTTTGCGAGATACAAAACCCAGGGTGGCTGCAATTGAAGCAATCATCACAACAGTGACCACGACCGGAAGTAATATATGGTTACGAACATCATCAGCCATGATCAATCCACTGCTTGACGAAGGCCTCCCATGGCCATCGCCATTTATCACAATACTGTGCTGTAATAAGCCACCGAGCATCTGCATACGAGCTAATTCCATGGCTCCATCTCCTCTGTGGATGATGTCCTCTCGGCCGCATTCCCTCCCTTGTGCTGCCACCACCCCTTGCATTATTATCGACCACCTCTCGTCACCCCCTCGAGTGGCGCGTCCTGCACAAGCACACTTACTCTCTTTCGCAGTCAGCGATGCCTTTAACGTGCGGATATCCTCTTTCTGTCTCTGAAAGCAATTCTGAGCGTTTTCAAGCGTCAATACAGTGGTGTGGTTTTGAATCACACCAGACGAGGTGAATACCCACTCATTCATTCATTGTACAATATATATGAGCACACAAAGGTATCTTGGAAAGCATTACAAAATCCACACGCGCGGATTCATCTTCTTCATCCCTTTCCTCTATCGCGAAGCAACTGCGCCACTCGGTGTGCCCCGTTCCTCTGCCCGCAGCGATCTGACCCCCGTCGCACCGCCTCTCGCTTGACAGGACGAGCCCCGAGCCAACGAGGTCGTCATTTAGCAACCATTACCGCCTGCTCTATTTCAGGACGATATAATGAACGCACGGCATTCTCTAAGCACGTTCGTCGGACGTCAGAGATGTGGCGACGGTGACGATAAGAACCAATTTTCCGATTGTTTGAGGTCACGAGATTAAAGAGTTGCGATTACAGCATTGGAAAATCCATACTTGTAAATTCGTGATGTTCATGATCATTATCATAATCGTTATTTACAGGGCACAGTCCTGCGATGCACCTATCCATATCTCCCTTCTGTACATGGACACGTGGCAAGGGTTGGTGGATCACGTAGACATTTGTCACACTCTTAAAACCCATCTGGGCTGCGACGTGATCCAGGGATGACAGTGTAGCAAGTGGGTTCATCAACCCATCTGTGCGAATCGTATCGTGTTATCCTCTCGTATGCGTGGTGGGTTTTGTCTGGCTACTCCAGTTAGTAGAAGAGATAGCAAAGAGATATTAGCGAAACAGCCCAATATAGCAGGACCCTCTTGGAAAAGGGGGCTTTGAGGCTCAGTAAGTCTTTCACGGATAGAGTAAACGCCATCAATAACTGACGGCAATGTAAATGACACAACGATCATTTGAATCACAAAGCACGTTCGTCAATTACACCGTGGCCCTAAAAGGACAAAAATATATCGTAGGCAATGTTTTGGGCAATGGCCCTTCTTCATAGCAGAAACAGTCGCCTTTCATGTCATCATGTATCATATGTCATCATATATCATGTAATCATATGTATATATTACCTCTAAAGGCAGTATTCCTGACCAATGTGTTGAGGTTTGTTATCTGTGCTTCTACACCCACTGCCAGACGCGGTGTTTTTTTTTAAACTGTTTAAATGTCAACACCACGTGATTGTTTATATTAACAAAAAAACGAGCAGGCACAGTCAACGTGATTGTGCAAGTCATTACTTGAATTTAAATTGAGAGGTGGCTTCGTGAAGCCTACCAATTGGCCGTTACATCAGGGACCCAGTAACGATTTGCTTTGTTGTTTGAAAGCAGCGGAATAAAAGTTGCATAGCTAATCACTTTTGTTAGAGGAAATAATTCATCACCGGGCAGTGCTTGGAAGTGCTTCTCACGTCAACAGCCCGCAGGAAGGCTCAAGTATAAAGATAAAATCAGTCCAGGTAACTCGGGCGTGCAGATATAATTTGGCGTGAGTGTCCCGCTGGGGTCACACTGCTGACCTCTTTAATTACACCCCAAACCAGACATGGGCAAAGTACGGCCCCCGGGCCGTATACGGCCCGTTGGGGTTTTTAATCCGTCCCGCCGAATTTGTCCAAATATTATTATTATTAAATTAAATTTTTCCTTTCTCCTGTAATACTCCCATTTCCCCATTAGTTGGCGCACTTTGGACGGGAGTTATGACATGTTTTTGTATTGTTCATGTTCGTGCAATTTATTAAATTGCCTTGCAAATAAATGCTTTGCTACCTGTTAAAGGCCAACTCCTTTCATGTAATGATTTTTACATGTCCTTTATATTAGTTCACACAAACACTCCATCCATCTGTTCCTGGCCCGGCCCCTCTGTCACATTTTAGAACCCATTGTGGCCCGCGAGTCAAGAAATTTGCCCACCCCTGCCCCAAACCCTTCCCCCCACCACCCCCTAACCTTTTTGACATCGAACAGCGTCCCTGATGCAAAATTGTTCGTCCCTATGGCCAGTCTATTTATAACGCAACCACTATCGAATTCCTTTATATCGCGAAAATATTATTGTCTATTATATATACTCGTACGTTTTGGTGGGGTGGGTGGGGTGGGTGGGGTGGGGAAGTGTGTTCGCGCACTACGCGATGATCCTGGCAACAACCTGAGTTCAATTCCCTGCGACGGCTAACGTCAAGGGGCAAGTGGCGTCTCATCAACCCCCGCTGAGTAACTGGAGCCGCTTGCCAATGAAATGTGGAAAATGCAACAACTTAGCTCAGGCAAACGATGACCAGTCCAGCCTAGCAATGCCAGTCCTTTTAAATTTCAAGGAATTGTCCGAGTCTCAAGATAATTATTTTTTTTCAGGAGGGTTCCGCATTTCAATGAATGTGGGAGCAAGACCAAAGTGCACGAAGGAAACCCACCACGCGTATTGCACTCAAAACTCTGCACAGATGGATTCAATAATCCATCGCTGCAGTACCATTTTGTCCGCCGCGTCGTGATGGCATCCCAAGCCGACACAAGACCAGGCGATGCTCCCGATCAAGTACAGCACCGCAACTGATCTGGGCCACTCCATGCTTGCTTAGCTTGAAATGCCGGAGCGAAAGTGAAGGGCAGCCTTGGGAAGGGAGAACAGGGTTCTCGCCTGGAGGAGCGAACGCTGTTCATGATTGAATTGACGTCGCCTCCCACCCGCTCTGTCAGCCTTAATTGGCTTAATTGAACGCGAGGAAACAAAGCACACTGCTCCAGGTTACAGATCTATATCACGCGTAACAACAAATGCACCCCTGGCGCCTGTAAGCATGCTGTTTTGTGCAAGGGGCTGTTCGCTGAGCGTCTCATTAAGGCCACCGTAGTGCTATGAACCTGGCGACCCTGAGGAGTGCTATGCTCAGCCAGCCACGGCTAACGTCAGTGGCGAGTGATATCTGAACCGATCCAGCACCGCCCCCCGCAATCTCTCCCCTCCCCAACACGCCACCCATAACCACCTCCCTTCATCAACCCGCGCTGACCAGCGTGATGAAGTATGGTAAAATAATCCCCACGAGCAACACGGCGTGGGGAGGCTCTCATCTAGCAGTAGATTGGTAACCGGGCCGTGCACGTGACGCTGAGACCACGAACTGCACTCCTGCGCTACGAAACCTGCGACCTGAGTTCGATTCTTTTCCCTAACCCTTTAACAAAAAAATAACGCCTGTGCAAGCCTCCTTCATCCAGCAGTAGATAGACCATCCCTCGTCACAATTAGTATTATTATAGTCGGCCACATTGCTCAGTGGTATGGGGATCGCGCCTCGCAATCGTTTGCTTGCGAGTTTAAATCCTGGTTTTCGGGTTAACTCAGCTCAGCATCCCTCTGCTGAGTCCATAACATGATCACCACTTTACTAGAAAATGAACAGCGCTTGTTATATGGGGACACTCGACCCCGCCGTATGAATGAGGAATTTCCACCACTGGCGCAGGGCTGCAACCGTAAGATGAGAACGGCCTCGGTGCTTATGTGATCAGACGAAGCCGCACGAGAAACGAAGCTCAATGTTCCTTTGGCTATGGAAGAGATTTGTCTGAGCAATTAAATAGCCACCCCTTGTAATTTTAATTCATCTGCAAACTTAATTGGGGTCCCACTTTCATCAGGCAGGCTTCTCGAGATGTGCCAATTAGGTATAGATTAAGCGCACCGCACGAGTGTGAGAAGCCGCTGACATTCATGACACCGGGAAGGCTTAATTATTATAATCGCAGTTGCTCAAGTCAGGCCCAATGAAAAGCAGCAATTAACAAGAGAGATAATGTATTACCGTAGTCTCCGTTATATAACACGACCTGGGGAATAAGACGCACCCCCAACCTGTGCCGGATGTCAACAAAGCGATACAAATCTGGTCACATCCATCTGCCGATTTTTTTTTTAGACGCAACACAACTTTTCCTGTAAATACGGTAATGATTCTTGAACTGAGATAGGTACCGTAATCGAAACATTGAGGGTAGGAGGGCGGGGAGCTGTGAGGCTGTCTGGTCCGCGCACTGCACTATAAACCCCGGCTACCTGAGTTGATTCCCGGTCACGGCTAACATCAGTGGCGAGTGATTTCTAAACCGGTCCTGCACCCCATCCTACCGCCAGCGTCCCCCCTCGTTCGCCGGCGTGGTGAGTTATGGTCAAACATAATCGACACGGCACGGAGTGGCCTTCATCATTCATCAGTGGATTGA